CTTGTCACCGGAAAACCCCGTTCTTCTATCCCTGTACCTACCGCATCACACACTCCCATATTGGTCACCCCTAACAACCCAGAAGAAGAGATGGAAACTAGTCACGAACTGAAAAGAAAATCATCATCATCTGAACTCTCGACCCCTACCTCCGAGAGGAAAAAGGGGAGAAACAGGTCGAGGAAACCTAAGTAAGCTTCTAATTCTTAAGTGAGTCTTTTTTCCAAGAATCCTTCAAAACTTTAATTATTAATGCAAGGGGGCTAGCAAACCCTCTTACCTACAATTTCTTGTTTGATTTGATCGAGAAGTCCAACTGTGATGTCTGTTTTGTACAAGAAACGTTAGCTCATTCTGAATGTACTATTAAATCTCTATCCCGTAGATGGCTGGGCCGTAGTTTTTGGTCCCCTGCGTCCGGGAAACAGGGTGGTGTCGTCACCTTGATTTCTTCGAAATGCTCAAACGAAATCGTATCTTCGAAGAAGGACTCAGAAGGTCGTATTGTCGGTGTTTTGATCAGGTGCAACGACGTTGATATTAATCTACTCAATATCTACGCTCCTACCAATCCTACCGAACGGAAAAGCTTTTTTGTTTCGGTTCACGAATTTTTTATTCCCTCCTCTGCGATTATCATCGGAGGAGATTTTAATTGTTACGACAACGCTCTCGATAAATTCGGTGGGAATATCTCTATACACAAAGATTACGAATCTTTAAAAAGGGATTTCGCGCTTACAGATGTTTGGCGAAATTTGCATCCAAGATCAAGAGAATTTACTTGGTTTAATTCTACACGGTCAATCGGGAGTAGACTTGACAAGTTTTTGATTTCGAAAGATTTATTGTCACCCAATGTTAAGTGTGACATTCGCCCTTGCTCGATATCAGACCACGATTTTGTTTTTCTTATCTTTGATATACCCACTGCTGTAAAACGCGGTCCAGGCGTTTGGTGTTTTAACAACTCTCTTTTGAACGATAAGGATTTTTGCGCTACTATAGAGAATTTAATTGATGATCGTGTACGTTTTTTATCTTGTTTTCCGTGTCTCCAAGATTGGTGGGAGTTTTTAAAACTGTCTATTAACGAAGAAACGATCTCCTTTTCCCGCAGAAAGCGAAGACAATTGCAAAGAGACCATGTGATTTTGACGAACAAATTGATCCGTCTTCGTCAACGTTAAGTTGACGGAGACAGTTCCGTTATCCCTTTAGTTTCTGACACCGAATGTCGTTTGAAAGCCCTTCGAAC